GCCATGGCTCACGGGCCCAGCCGCTCCGCGGCATGTGGGATCCTCCCGGACCGGGGCACAAACCCGCGTCCCCTGCGTCGGCAGGTGGACTCTCAACCACTGCGCCACCAGGGAAGCCCTGTTTTGGCTTTTAATTACATTTAAAATGTGTTTTAAAAACCATTATTTTTTATTATAAAAGTAATATTAGGTTTATGGTGGAAAATTTGGAATATACAGTGAAATGTAGAGAAGAAAATGAAAGTCACCTATAATCTTAACTGCCCCTTGGGTTCTGAATATGGAATGATTCCAGGACGTTCTGAAAGAAAGTTCCCACTTCAATGCGCTGGGGGAGAGGGGCCCCCCGGAGTCTTTTCCTGAGGAAAAAAGAGTTCCAATTCTTGAAAGCCTGGACATTCAACACCTTTAAAAGGCTGGTCCCTTAGACCTTTGATGCTTGTCAGAGACAGACTTTGAGAACTCACCTTATTTTTTAGATCAATATTTCTTCTTCCTAATACATAATAACAAAAATTACAATCAGAAAGAAAGAAATCTTTAGGGGAGAACCTCTGCCGTCCAGTGGAGACAGCGCTGGAGATGAAAAAAAGACCTCTGGCTAAGATCGCATGTGCCCTCTGGTGGCAGCTGGAGGGGATGGCTTCACAGGGCCATCAAGTCAGTGGTTCTCAAAGTGGGGTCCCAGGACCCAGCCTCACCTGGACACTTGTCAGAAACAACTTTTCAGGCCCTACCTCAGTTCTTTTGAATCAGAAACTCTGAGTGTGGGACCCAGCAATTTGTGTTTTAACAAGCCATTTAGGCACTTCCAATAAGCCCTAAAGTTTGAGAACCATTGTTTTAGATAAGTACAGGCCTGGTACCAGATAATGTGTCAAAACAGCACAAGCTCTGAGGACAAAAGGGAAGGAAATGGTGAAGGCGCTGGTGCTGGACAAACACCTCCTCAAGGTCCCTGCCCACACTCGGCCCCATCTCCCTCTCAGCCCTGAGGTATCTGGAGGCTGCAGAGTTGGGGAACAGGGGCAGAAGGGACCACTCACTGCCCAGAGTAAACCCATCCAGGCTTCTTGGACGGGGCTTAAAAGGCCACACCACATTGTGTGAAACTAAGACTTGGATTCCTAGGACAGAGATCAGAGGTATAAGGGCAGGGTGATTCCAGAACCCTAGCAAGCCCATCCTGAGCGGATGCAAGACTTGAACTTCAGGTAGAGGCAGAGGAATGAAAAGCAAACACTGAGGTAGGAATAAAGCAGGAACAAAGTAAGCCCCAGGAAGGAGGGGGCCGAGAAAAGAAGTGTGCTCCCCTTGGGCAGATGGATCAGTCTTTAACCAGATACCTTCCTGGAGGAAATGCTTTATAATTCGATTACTGTCAGAATGAAAAAGCCCCACATTGACTCAAGATGCAGCGGTGCTGGCACTCGGGGAAATTGGGTCTGAGGCTCCAACTGGATAGAAAACGCCTAGGCCCCCAGCAGGTTCCCTGCAGCGAGGCTTCCCTGACAGAGAAGTGATGGTTTTCAGGGCATCCAGCTGTTTAGGAAATCTCTGCACCTGGCAAAGTCAAGCAGGAGTTTGTAGAGAAAATCTGACAAGAAAAACAAGGTTTCAGCAGAAACCAGAGACAGGCAGATGGAAGCTGTCATGGTAAATACGCCACTTCAAATTTTCTCCTCCCCTAGAAACAGTTCTGTTTATACTGTCATTCTAACAGTAGTATTAAAGAGATGCTCTGATTCAGTTAAGACACTGTATTTCAGGTTACATGTCCAATCTATTAATTAACTTTATTCATTCAGTAAGTATTCACTGAGCACCTACTGTGTGGCAGTCATTGTTCTAGGTTCTGGGGTTAAGCGGTAAACAGACGGAAATCTCTGCCCTCGAAGAGTTTACATTCTAATGGCGGGGAGGGGAGAGATAATAAACAAAATAAGCAAAATGTGTAACGCTTTGAGTTCTTCATCTCCAGCTTGCCCCTCAAATATTAAGCTCTTGTTCTGAATTTTCAAAGCTGAACTAGGAGAGTGACAGTGTTGAGAGTCTTAGGGTTAGAAAAGTCAGCTCAGGCAGGGCTTCTAAACAAGTCATATGCAACTGAATCACCCGGAGACATTGTTAATGTGCAGATTTAGATGGGGGCCTGGGGAAGAGCTCCCAGGTGCTGATGCTGCAGGCCCACAGTGCGCACCACACTGCTGAGGACCCCACTTGGGAGTCAGGCTGCGGGGATGGAGCTGGCCCGGAATGCAGACTCCCAGCCAGACTGGCCTCACGGCCGCTCCCTGCTGGAGCTCCAGCTCCTAACCTCAGCAGAGGCCCTAGCTAGTTCACAGAGCACTCCTCTCCCTGATTTCCACAGCAACTCCTTCCGGCAGGCTGGGCAGCCAGGAACAATACTCCTTCTTAAAGGGGAGGAAACAGCACCTACCCCAGGGAAGTTGTGTGGTGGCAAAGCTGGGAGCAAACTCCCATCTCTGTCTAGAGGGCTTTGCCTGGCCTAGAACAGACTAGGGCCTTATAAAGAGGGGAGATGCTGCAGGCTTGTGAAGAAGCCAGCACAGCGGCAAACATCACTCAGAGTCACAGAAAACCAGGCATTTACGGGGCTCAAAGGGCCTTTAACCTAAACAGGTCTAGTTGCTGTGGCCCACCTGAAAACAGTTTACTAGTTGGCCTTCACTGAATTGGCTTTGGGGTGGGTTTCCAGTTTACCTGTCTGTCTCCCTCTGGCGTGATGTGAATTTCACAGGAAGCAATCTGATAGCAGCTGTTAGAGATGTTCAGCCCTCCCAGGTGGCTTGCCATAGCCTGACTGATGCAGCCAGGTGAGCCTGGGGACCTGGGATGGCAGGAGAAAGGACTATTCCCTTTCTTTAGGCTGGGAGCCATGAGGAATTACTCATTCTCATTTTACAGGATGTATTGGAAAGATGATCACAGAGGGAATGGGCACAAAACAGCTATTTCCTTATGTCAAGTTGGGAGACGTCAACAGAGGTCATTCGGCCAGTCAAAACACACTCAGCCCACGCTTTCTGTAAATATTTAACCATCCAGAATGGCAAACACTGCTTTATGGCATGTCATAAACGATACTGTACTAAGACGGAACCATTTCATGATGGGCCTAGAGCAACAAAGACAACAACTGGAGATCTCCTTGGTGGAAAAGAACATGACAATGAGAATGCTTTGGGCAGACACATTCCTTCAGGGAGGGCCAAGGCAAAAGCCAAGCCGCCAAGCCAAGGCGTTTCCCCTGGGGAACTCTGCTCACGGTATTAAGTGTGGTATGTTTGCAAGAGCCTAAATGGCTGAGACTCAGGAAGGCTATCCTGCAATAGGGACGGGGCTGAGGTGCCAAGAGCAGAATTTTCCGAAACTGGAGCCAAGATCAATTGTAACAATGGCCGAGAGAGGAAAACAGAGGCTGAGAGGGGCAGCTGGCTTCTCAGAGGAAGAAAACAGACAAAGCCTCTAGAAACAAGGGAGGACTACAGAAGCGGTTACCTTGGAGATCAGTTCAGGATCTGCGGCAGATAGGAAACCTAATAGGGTATTGGTCACAAACTGGCCTGACAAGATTCTGGAAAATGGAAATTTGCTCTCAAAAATTTCTCACCAACTACCTTCCAACCCCACCCCTAACCTTTTTTTTTTTTTTTGCGGTATGCGGGCCTCTCACTGTTGTGGAGACGCCCAGGCTCGGCGGCCATGGCTCACGGGCCCAGCCGCTCCGCGGCATGTGGTATGTTCCTGGACCGGGGCACGAACCCGTGTCCCCTGCATCGGCAGGCGGACTCTCAACTACTGCTTTTTTTAGGAAAGAAGGATTGTACCAGAAAACAAGGCAGCCTTGGTTCTACTCAGATGACAGAGAGAAAGGAAAAGGGAGGGAGGGAGAAAAAGGGAAGGAAAGAGGGAGGGAGGAAGGAGGGAAGAGGAGGGACGGGGAGGAAGAGGGAGGGAGAGAGAATGAGAATGGATACATCCGAAGTAAGACTAGAACGAAAACTACTTGAGAGCCTGTATGGATTCATCCCAAATCCTGTAACCTGCGCCCCGCAGCACCCGTTGCCCGGGACACTGCCACTGTCAGGGTTCGGAAATGAGGACAGAACAAGAGTGAAAATCTAAGGCCCATTCAGAACAATCTACCTTGTGGTGCCCTCCTGAAAAGTTAAAAAGGCAGAAAACTAGTTTTATCTGTAAGAAAATGTTTATTCTTTTGAACCCCACAGGAAAAAAAAAAAAAAAGGAATGCAGCCAAGACCAAGTATTTAACCAAAATAGTGTCCCAAAAGGCAGCAAAATGGGGGAAACCTCAACACAAAGTCAGTGACAATTTTCCATGTTTTTGCACAAAGATGAAAAAAATCTGTGACAATTCTGAGTAACACTTCCATGGTGACAATTACACAAGATGATTCAAAAATGCAAAGTGGCAGCAACATGCATACCTGGCTAAAGCTAGAAGGTTTTAATCCCAAAATAAGATCAGTGATTAAAAAGGAAGATTCTTTTTAACACTTCTATCTTGCTGACTTGCTTGTCCTACTTAATTTGCTTTAAATGAGACATACATGCCAATTAACAGGAAATTTTAGAACTATGTCCTTCCAGAATCCATGGCAAGGAAGTCAAACCATTCTATTTGGTTTCTTAATTTTCCTAGGTTCCAAATACAATTTTGCTTTGCCCCTCCCTCTCCCAGCCCCTCCCTCCACCCCCTCCCTGATTCTTAAACACTTCCAAAGGTTGCCAGTGCAAACACTTTTCTACCAATGTATAATATACACTTGAGACTGAAATCTTTGTGCAGAGTTTTGAGTTTTAAACTCTTTTAAAAAACAAAACAACACAACAAACCTTCCTTGGCACAAGAGCTGAGGAATTGTCAAGTTTCTTTTAAATCGTCAAACACAAGATGACGAAAAGTGGAAAGCACAGTTAAAGGAAATTTAAAAAAGATAAAACAAAACAAAACCTAGAACTGCAGCTTTTATTAGCCGGCATTGCAGTCTCTCGAACACAAACACCGCCCAGCTCCCCTTCCCAGGGTGCTTGCCTCGAGACAAGTCCAGAACACTGTGGTGCTTTCAATGAAAGGAAACAGAAGGTGTGGCTGAAGTGGTACCGAACAGCCCAGCTACCCACCAGTTCTATAGCAGGATCCGTAGTGAGCTTGACACAGAGAGAAGGTAGATGATGGTAAAGGGGGAAATTGTTTAAAATCAAGTTTCCTCTTGAAATGTCTTTTCCCAAGGCACTGTGAACAAGGCTGCTGCTAGCAATTTTCTAGGACTAAACACACCGATGGGAAGACACACATTTCAGACACAACCCGTTACATTCGCACAGCTGGTCCCATCACCTGAGTCTCCCCTCGGCTGAAATGACACTCCTTGGATTTGTTTGGTCCTTGGAGGGTAATCAATTTTTGTTTTCTGTAATTTTAGTTATCATTTTCTTTAATGCAGCCATAGCATCAAAGCTGTGTTCGGTTATTTAAACCTTTCACACTAAAAACTAAGTTTTCATTGTCATCCCATGTGAATCCAATGTGCAGGTTTTGCTTGCTGATTTAAGAACAAAACAAAACAAAAAGAAAGGGTTGAGAAGGAAAAACTCTGCTTTTTTTTTTTCTTCAAGAGGAAACTGTAAGAATACATAAAAGGCAAAACTGGCTACTTGAAATCCAAGAATGGTTTTAATGTAATGGCCGAGAAAAATAAACTGCAAAGTTCTGTGAGGTCTTCTAAAAACTTACAAGAAAAACTGGTGGGCAGTTCTAATCAGGCTTGGATGTTATCTTTCCCCCCCTTTTTAAAAACGACAACATATACAGTCCCACAAAATACAATATAAACTTTTTTTAATCTTGACTGCCAGAGACGCTCCCTTGTGATGCTTTCTGATAACCAAAGCCTGGAAAAAACACGCTGCTGGCCTTCATTTCTTCAGGGGCTGGTAAACAGAGGCATTGGGATCAAGTCCAGAGGGGCTGGTCTCCACAAATTTGGAAGAGTAGTGTGGGGAAACGGGGCTCAAGGGGCTGGTGGCGGCACTGTATGTTATGCTGGGCATGACGGCCATGACTTCGGCTATCTTCTGTTTTAGGTCCTTGATTTCCTGGTCTTTCTGAAGAATTTGTCCTGGAAGATCAAAGACCCACCATTAGTGAGAAGGGAGCGTTCACCCACCAGAGTGCCCTCTTGGGCCCACTGATCCCAAATGGATTCGACTCCAGCTTTGATGGTTTGTAAGGGGAGACACATTTTTCCAGTAATGTGCCAAACAGTAAATATTTAAACACTGTGAGCCACATACTGTCCTTGTCGTTTTTTGTTTTTTTTTTATTTTAAACCATAGAAAACTGCGAAAACCATTCTTAGCCCACGGGTGGTACAAGAAAAGGTGGCAGGCCAGATGTGGCCTACGGGTCATGGTGTCAAGAGGAACTGCGTTTAGGTAGGTGTGACGAAGCAAAGAGCTCAATCTCCAGGAGCCACATTTTGAGCTTGGCAGTCACCAGGGCAGCCGAAGAGGGTGCTTCTTTTGAACTCGGGCTCTACCTCTTGCGCGGAAACATTTTTCTGGGAGGATGGACTATCTCGGAGTATGAGACCAAGGAATCCAACCAGCTCCTGCCTGCCGCAGGGCCGCTTCCCTTTCTGTGCTTCTCCAATGCTCTCTGTGTTAACTCGTGAGGTTTCTGTTTCTACTCCCTCACAAAGCTTTCCCTGCTCCTTCCATCTAAATCAGACCCTACCCCCAGCCCCCGACTCCTCGATTCTCAACACACCCTAAACTTTCCTTTCTGTCACTTTATTCTTTGTAATAATGATAATAATTACAATAGCTAACACGTATGTGCCAGGCACTGTTCTAAGTGCTTACGTAGACTAACTCATTTATTTACCCCAACAACCCTATCAGATGGGAATTATCATCACCATCATCCATTTTATAGATGAGGAAACCAGGGCACAGAGAGGTTGAGGGACAAGAGCTGGGATTCAAGATGATGCAGTTTGGCTCTGGAGTCTGCACTCCTGCCGACTGCATTTTTCTGTCTCCGGTGAGTGTTCATTTGGGTGATGATTTGTGTCCATCATCTCTCCACTGGCCCATGAGCTCCATGAGGGCTGAGACTGTCTCCCCATTTTTGTCCTTGCCAAATCCCTAGTGCCCAGCCCAGTGGAAAGCTGAGGCCCTGCAAGGTGTGTATCTTGCCCAAAGTCATTCAGTTATTAATGACTAAGCAGGACTTAAACCCAGGACCACTTTGTTCCAAAGCCCATGCAATTTCCATCATGCTTTGATGCTCCCTGGTCTACTAGGGGAAGAACACTTAGGAGTAGCCCTTCAGAAATTTAAATGCTGAAAAAAGGAAGAGATTGTATTTGAGTTGCACTCACTTTGAGTCCTACAGAAGACGGTAATATATTTAAAATGTAAGAGAGCATGGTGGCGTATTTTAAAAAATGATATAGTAGATGAAAGCCATTTTGGAACCAAGATGAATCAAATGATATAGAAAGTAGGAAGGAGAAACCCAGCAAGGGGCTTGATTTAAATTATGAAGTTGGGTTCTTATTAGAATATTCCAAGCATGAGCATGACAGTGGAGGGGAGTCGTGGGAAAGGCGGCAGCAAAGAGCCGCCCCGCTCTGGCTTCCTTCATGTCCCCTCAGCTTCAAGTAAGCATCAAATACCCTCCATCCCTTTGAACGAAGTAAGCCTCAGGCGAATAAAATACCTAACAGCATCTGATATATAAGCCACTGTATCTTTTTTCCATGAAGATTTAAGTTTGATTTCTTTAATCAGTAACATACAAACACTCCCAGAGCTTTGGAAAAGACAGTTCTCTTTGCTTTACGAGAATTTCTGGGCCAACAAGGAAGCATAATCTGTGCTGGGAAGCCAAGTTCCCCTCGGCTACTCTGAGACCCAGGTGCTGCTTCACTCCAGCAGACAACCTCTTTCAAGTCTGCAAATCCAAGTAAAAGGGATGAGGCAGAGAGAGGGTAGCCACTTCTCAAGGAGCTGAGCCAGGCAGGCAAAACACCAGCGTACGGTCAGAAGTTTAGCAGGATTCCCAGGAACCCTCCTTTTTTTTTTTTTTTGCGGTACGCGGGCCTCTCACTGTTGCGGCCCCTCCCGCTGCGGAGCACAGGCTCCGGACGCGCAGGCCCAGTGGCCATGGCCCACGGGCCCAGCCGCTCTGCGGCACGCGGGACCCTCCCGGACCGGGGTACGAACCCGCGCCCCCCGCATCGGCAGGCGGACTCCCAACCACCGCGCCACCAGGGAAGCCCCCCAGGAACCTTCTTTTTAAATGCCTTTCCCTGAGTCCACAGATCCATAAGACTGGTTCTCAACCCCTTCTCTTCTTGCTCTGCCACTGCCATCCCAAGCCACTCCTATGGCTTCATTGACTTCTCACAACTTCTACATCCCACCCCCAACCCCGGGGTTCTGGCCTTTTCTCTGGGGCTTAGGGCCCAAATTCCCACTGACTGATGAAGATCTTTAGGCTGAGTGTCCGGTAGGCAACTCCAGATCAAAGCATCCCAAACCAAACTCATTCTCTCTTCTCATTCCTTAATCTGTTTTGTTCTTCTTCCATGGTTCCAGCAACCCTGTTGGAACACATCACCTGCTTCCTCCTCAAAATCTAGGGGATACATCCTCTAGTACAGCTTCATTCACGGTCCTACTAATCTACTCTCTTCTTCCATGTCCCCCAGCTAGAGGCCACTGGACTGCTTACGTGGACATTCTCAACACTGTCCTTCCTTTGCTTAAATGCCATTCCCTCAGGTAACAATGTTCTTCCCTGCCATTCTCTGCTCTCAGAATTCATCCTTCGAAGTCCACTCAATGGTCCCTCCCTTATGAAGCCACCCTGATCTCTCCTCTGTCCTTTCAAGCCATCTGCCTCTACCTAGTGGCAGCAGGCCTCGTGCGTGGCTTTCCCTAGTGCAGCACTTCCCACAGCGTCCATGTTGTCCTCATGCTAATACTAAGACATTTATCCGCCTTCTTCACGTGCATTCCCTCATGAGCCTAAGTGGAGTCTTCCAGGAGCAACATGGCAAGTGAAATAACAATAGACTGAATGTAGAGACAGAGACGAGAACTGAAATATCTTCTATTAACCCAGAAATTAAAGAGATTTGCTAAATGTAAAATACTGCTTTTCTCACTAAATTTTTTTTGTTTTGAGAAATGGTTATTTTCATAAAATGTTAACACGCAATGTTTATTACATTATTTTTTAATGAATTAATAAATGTTTTAGGTTTTAATTTCTAATACATCAATATTGGTAGACATAATTCACTTGAAAAACACCTCCCTTGGGGTACTCAATAATTTTAAGAGTGTAAAGGGGTCCCCAAGACCAAAAAGTTTGAGCACAACTACCTTAGCGGATCCCCAGCTAGACTATGTCTTGTTCGTCTTTGTCTCCCCTTCACCTTCTAGTAAAATGCTTTATGCAGAGCAAGTGTGAACGCTCTGTAAGTACCTGCTGAAATATTCTTTTCCTTCTATTAAGTCAACTGTTTGAAAATTTTTTTCAGTAATCTATTGGTGGCTTATCAATTTCTTGAACAAAATCTAAATTTCTTTTCATCAGGTCATGTCAGGCCTCTGTTCAGAAGCTTTCCAAAGTTTCCCATGTCACGCAGAGTAAAGTCCAAAGTTCTTTCCATAGGCTGCAAAGTTTGGCAGAATGTGGCTCCTGCTACTTTTGACCCTAAAAACTCTCCCCGTCACTCAGGCTGCAGCCCCAGTGGCCACGACACATGTGCTTTTCCCCTAGAGACTTATATGGCTCACTCACTCTCTTCCTCTCAGTCTCTGTTCAAATGCTACCTATTCAAAGGCTCTTCCATGTCCTCCATGTCAAAGCAGCAGCCCTACACACACACACAGCCTGCGTCACCACTGCTTTATTTTCTTCACTGCACCCATCAGATATTATATATTTGCTTGTTACTGTCTGTCCCCTTAGGGGTTTGCACAGTGCCTGGCATGTAGTAAGTCTCAGTAATATCTGCCGAGGGAATAGCCTGCTCTCCAGACTTTCCTCCCTCCACTCCCTCATCTGCAGCCTCCACTCCAGCAAAGCAGAGCCAGCTGCCGCTCTGAACACATCAGGCCCTCCTAGCTTCCCTGGCCTTGCTCGAGCTGTTTCTTCTGTTCAGATGCCTCTCTACCCCTCACCGCCACTACACCGCTTCTTCACTGGGCTAACCCCGTCTCATCATTCAAGACCCAGCTCAGACATCAGCTCCCCTGAGAAAAAGCCCTCTCTAACTCTCCAGACTGGCTGAGTCCCTGGGTCTCTATGTTCCCACAGGCCCTGTACATCCTGTTACATCAGTATCTTTTGGTGACTCTGCAGTTCTCTATTTCTTCTACAACACTCTGAGCTCCTTGAGCAGAGAAACTCACTCTTCCCTGTGTGCCCTGCACTTGGTATGTTCTCATCTCAAAATATGTCTGCAGAATGAATTAATGTGATGATTCCTAGATGTCCACGGTGGGTACTTATCAAACCACTTGAAGAGGAAACGGAAATGCCTTTGGTTTGAGCTCTAAGGGAGCTCTGCTCTCCGTGTCCCCAGGCATTCTCAGCCATGCTGCGTGACCTGGGCTGTTCTCCTACCTTGGGCAATCTCGAGCTGTCGCTTTGCATCCCCCAGTGCAGAGAACAGGTCCAGCTTGATTCTTGTCTCTGCGCTCAGGCTGTTCTCCAGGTGCTGCGTTTTATCTTGCATGGCTGAGAGGGCTGACATTAACACCTCAGTGTCCTTCTCATTTTCCTTATACTTCCGAAGCTCCTATCAATATCATCAAAGCAGCAATGTTACAAGATAGTTTTGGCATCGATGTCTACAAATTAGCCTGAAATCACAAATAAAATCCCACTATTATTGACCTGGCCCCTAGAACACAGAATCCTGGTGTTTCATGGGTTTAGACCTCGCCCCTTAGAGGGAGTGCAAAATGTATTTATACAGTGATGTGCACATACAAAACGATAATTGTATTGGACTTTTTGAGATAACTGTGGACTCTGTCTCCAGATAAAACTTTCAGGCTTCCCTGGTAGCGCAGTGGTTAAGAATCCGCCTGGCAATGCAGGGGACACGGGTTTGAGTCCTGGCCCGGGAAGATCCCACATGCCACGGAGCAACTAGGCCTGTGCACCACAGCTACCGAGGCTACGCTCTAGAGCCCGGGAGCCACAACTACTGAGCCCACGAGCCACAACTACTGAGCCCGTGTGCCACAACTACTGAAGACCGTGCACCTACAGCCCATGCTCCGCAACAAGAGAAGTCACCATAAGGAGAAGCCTGTGCACTACAACGAAGAGTAGCCGCAACGAAGACCCAACACAGCCAAAAATAAATAAATTAAATAAATAAATTAAAAAATATATATATAAAACACTTTCTTACAACCCTAATTCAGAACCACAAAGAACTGTTTCCCGGCTGCCGGCTGCAAATGTTGCTGTAACGCTGTAGTCAAACGTGCGAAAACTCTACTCTCAACCTACACTAAAAATGTTAATTATTTTGACAGCGTATACTGAAAAATAGGCCCACTTAAAACATCAGATAATGTAGCCTATATATATGTGTGTGTGTGCCCATGTGTGTGTGTGTGTATATATATATATATATATATATATGCTGATATTTTTTTCATTTTAAGAGAGAAATCAAAACTTATTATAGTCAATTAAAAAATACTTAAAAGTTCAAAGAAGAAAATAAAAATCACCCAAAATCCCAGTGCTGCAAAAAATTTGATCTATTTTCTTTTAGTCTTTTTTAAGTATACGTGTATCTTTCAGCATAACTGAAATCAAACTACACATACAAGTTTTTAAAAACATATAATCTCAATTGTTCTTTGAAAATGCAATTTTTATTGGCTGTTTAATATTCCTACATGTATATGTACCATAATTTATTAAACAAATCTCCCATTGTTAAGATGATTTCCAATTTTTTTGCATTTATATACCACTATGATGAACATCTCTGTATATCAATCATCGGTGAGGCTTTTAAATATTTACCTTAAGGACGGAGTCTGAGGAAAATATTCTTTAAAAATACGTGACCTTTTCCAGAAAGTTACACTTCCACCGGCAACATAATACGAGGCCTATTTCATTGTATCCTCACCCAGGTTGATACTGGCATTTAAAAATTCTTTGCTGATTTCACAAGAGATAAGTGATATCCAATTTTAATCTATCTGTCTTTGGTGACAGATGAGGATATATTCTTACATTGTTATCAGTCATTTATATTTCTTCTGTGAATTATCTATTCATATAGTTTGCCTACTTTCTGTGTGTTTGAGCTTTTCTTAGCAATCTTTATGAGCTATTTACATATTGAGAATTCTTTTTTTTTTTTTTTTTTTTTTTTTTGTGGTACGCGGGCCTCTCACTGTTGTGGCCTCTCTTGTTGCGGAGCACAGGCTCCAGACGCGCAGGCTCAGCGGCCATGGCTCACGGGCCCAGCCGCTCCGCGGCATGTGGGACCTTCCCAGACCAGGGCACGAACCCGTGTCCCCTGCATCGGCAGGCAGACTCTCAACCACTGAGCCACCAGGGAAGCCCCCTAATTCTTTTTTTTATAATATTTGTTGCAATATCTGTACCCTCCCCAATTGATTTTTTCATTTTTTTTTCACTTTGTGATTTAAAACAAAATGGTATTTTTCCCTGGATTCAACTCTTCCTCTGGAATTTATTTTTGTGTGGTGTGAGATGAGCATCTCATTTTATTTTATTTTTTCCCGTTGTCTAGCTGTTCCTCAGCCTTTCACTGACTAACACTTGCTGTTCCATCCATTTCTTTTTTTTTTTTTTAAATAAATAAATTTATTTATTTATTTATGGCTGCATTGTTGCTGTGCACAGGCTTTCTCTAGTTGCGGCGAGTGGCGGCTACTCTTCATTGTGGTGTGCGACCTTCTCATTGCGGTGGCTTCTCTTGTTGCAGAGCATGGGCTCTAGGTGTGCAGGCTTCAGTAGTTGTGGCACATGGGCTTAAGTTGCTCCGCAGCATGTGGGATCTTCCTGGACCAGGGCTCGAACCCGTGTCCCCTGCATTGGCAGGCGGATTCTTAACCACTGCGCCACCAGGGAAGCTCTCCATCCATTTCTGATGCCGCCTTCACTGAACACTAAGTTAGGCTTTGTCTCTGGGTCACCTATTCTACCCCACTGACCTACCACTAATTTCTTATGGGCTCCATATGACTCAAATTACTGTAACTTTACAACTTATAACACTAGCCTTAAACATCCCTTTGAAGACCCAATGCCACCACATACTAGGCTAAGGTACACACAGCCCCAAAACTGGCTATGTCCACAGCACTGGCAGCTTTCCTCCCTATGCACTGCCTAGAGTGGCCATCTGTGAAGCTGAGAGCCATCCAAAATGGTCAATTCCCTGGCGATGGACAGAGAATTAGGGCTAAGAAGAGGTGTATACGTTCCAAAGCACACTAATCTGGCCTATAACCTGAAAAAGTGAAATGAATCTCCCGGAAGTCAAATTCTGGTATAAAACATGTCAAGGACCATTAACATTTCTGGCTTGTCTTAGAATCCAGATAAACTAAATATGACTTGAATGAGCTGGACAGGTGAGAGCTCCTTTTGGTCATACAGAGATTTTCAGATGCAATGGGGTTTGGCCTGTATCAGAAGGCACCATCTCTACACGGAAGCACAGAGCACAAACCTAACACGGAAGAGGAATTCAAGCGCGATGAAGTCTGTTTTTCCTCCTTTACCTGAACTTTCAGTTCTAGTTCTCTGATCTGGTCTTCTTTCACCTTCATGTCCATTGTGAGCTTCTTGCCCTCTGCTTCTAATTCTCTGATCCGATTCCGTAAGGTTTCGGTGCACTCTCCCCTTATGAAAAAGAAGAGAAGGGAAAAAGAGGATTTAAAAGACTATAGGTTTAACTATACTGCAGGACTGATATTTTTCTTATACTCCAGAGTCAGATTTTAGCTTTTGGCTCAGTCTGCTCATTCTCTCTGTTCTTTATAATTTCAAAAATGATCTAAAATAATTATTAACTGGGTGTCTAATATGAGCCAGGTGCCAAGCTAGGTACTTTACCCACACTTCCTTCTTTACTGGGGTAGGGTTTATTATCCTATTTCCCAGAGAAGAAAACTGACGCTACTTAGATATAATACTAGTTCAAGGTCACCCAGCTTGCAGGTCACAGAACTGGGATAAAAGAACTGAGGTTTCTCCACCTTGCCAATCCAGCAAGCTTCCCATCAGGCCATATGAGTTGAGACAAGGCACACAAGCTGAGCAAGAGAGAACCAGACGTGTGCTGTCTCCAGCAGGGGGCAGTGAGTTAACAAACATTTTCACTTTTGAGGGACTGTGCACTGGGAACGTCACCTTTCTTCAGTCATGAAGTTTTGACAAGACTGGAGTAAACAGAAAAAGAAGGGAGCAGCATGAGGTTCCTTCTCAGGGCTATAATAAGGACAAACTTAAAAAGATGATGGCAATGGCCAGTCCAAAGCTGGTGAACTGTTTAGGTTTCAGAAACAGCCTGGTGGAGAAGGTAGGTGTCCTTTGCCTACGAAAAGGAAGGCCCAGTGAGAGACTAAAGCCTTAAGATATACTTAAGAATCAAAACAGCCTCTACATAAATGATGGCAAACAAGGACCATCCAAGGATAAGACCAAAGGCAATAAGCTTAACCAAAAGCAAAAGAAATTAAGGGTAGAGACTGAAATCAATGTACTGATTCTCAAGCATAAGAGACACTAAACAATATGGTTAAGAAACTGTCATATCCTCCTCAGGGACTTTTTGAGAAAGAGTAACTGCTGGATGAATTAAGGAGAGCACAAGCCACACCAGATGACTGTTCAGGAAAATCTCCTGCAAGTGTAAGTGCTTCAGGAACACTCACAAATCTTTAAATGAGTGAACAAACAACCCCACCCCCCACCCCCGACATCCTAAGCAGGTTAGTAAAGGGTCTTGTGAATCTGTATAGATGCTAACGGGCCAAGTTAGCTCAGCCATCTGCAGTACAGAGTCTGCTGGGGGAAGGCAGGATCACGCAGGAGAAAGAGTTCTCTCTCCCGCTGCTATTTCCTAAAAGATGAAATGATGGTTCACCAATTGTTCTACAAATGCCAGAACCCAAAAGGAGGCTATTAACATGACAAATACAAAAAATCAAAAAGTAGAATTATATCACATAGACACAAATTTAGGGATAGAAACTTAAAATTAAATAAATAATAATTTACCCTCCCCTGCATCTGTAAACCCATAACTGACCCCCACCATGCAGATGAACTTCACCAGTCAAAAAAACAAAGAAAAAAGAAAAAGTGAAGTAGAAGCCAAAAAGACAGAGAGACAGAAGGGAAGAAAAAGAGGCTCTTGACTCTCTTCCCCATCTTTTCCAGGTCATTTGACAGTTTGCTGATGTCCAACAAAGACATGAGCAGTCAGTACACAGTGCTTGGGGGACCAAGATTTTATCTTTCTTCCATTTTAAGATTAAAAACACCAGAAACACACAACTAAGAGTAAAGCACAATGATAGTCCTATAAAGGGAACAAAAGTCCAGATTGGTTCCCTCAAAGCATTTAGTAATTATCGGTCTTACAGAAAGTGGCTGGAAATCCCTTTTTGAGCAGAATTTTGCCTCCCAGGTGTGGGAGGCATGGAGATTCCCTCATCCCACTTTAGACAGCAGGTCACTGGTCACTGAGGGATGAAGTTGTCATGACAGCATAAGCTTGCACAGATGGGGTTTAAACCAGCTAATAAAACAGTACTTAAAAGCAATCCATCCATGCATGATTGTGTATTTCCAGTCCTGCCCAAGGCATCAAATTCCCATTCTCAGTCCAAGGAAAGCCGACCTTGGATTAAGCACTCAGGTGACATCAACATACCTAGACGCAGCAGCAAATGCAACAGCCCGGGCAGCAGTAGCTTCTTCTAACTTCTTCCTTTTTTTTTCCTCCATTAACTGCTTTTCTACAAAACTTCGGGCTTCCTGCTCAGCTTTTAGCTTTTTCTCCAACTGGCTGATATTCTGCTTATCTTTTTGCTTCATCTGCACAGCATTATGTAACCTATATGGAAATGATTGCCATACAAAGTTTTACAATTAGAAACGTCCAATATAAACCCTGGAGAAACATGGCTCCTCTTTATCAGTTTGAGGCCAAAGCAAACAGGAGATTTGAACAGCAAATCATAAATGTCAATTCCCAGAGTGTCCAAGGAAAATACATTGTCATTATTATTTAACAATTCCTAAACGCCAATAAACAAGCTGCCTTACAAGACACAGAATTGGACCTAGCCTCTGCTGTATTAATGTAAGTGATCTACAGAAGGTAATCCAGAAAATAGGATAAAACAAGTTTCTATCAGAGGAAAAGATAACTGTAGAACTAATTCTAGTGCCCCAAAGCACCTTGAAAGAACTTCAGTCTGAGACCAAGGAAGGGCTGAACCAGATCCATTGACACTGAGGAAAAGGGTAGGAGGGGAAGGTCTTTCTCTGCCTGAACACAGTATGCCACAGCCTGCTGCAGCCCTTCCTTTCCCGCTGGGGGACGTTTCCTCAGAGCGCCCCGCGACAGTTAGAATCACAGGATGCTTAATTTCACATAAAAACTGCAGCCACATTCCCTTCCCTGCCACTACCACCCCCAGCTTTACGCATCAATATAAGGTGAGTTTCTCTCAATATATCAATGTAAGGTAAGATGTTCTCTATGTAATAATGCTAGAGCCATCGCACACATACGTGAGTCAGAAGCAATGGAGAGGTTATTTGCCTATAATGCTCTAGCTTTTGAGCTACATTCCCTGAAAACGATGAAGAACTGCTCTTTCAAGGAAAAGCCCAGAAAGCTCAGCACCTGTAATAGTAATCACTACCCCAGACACACGCTGTTTAGAGATGAAAAAAAAAGACAGGCCCACATTGAGTCAAGAAGTAATTCCAGAATGAATTAATGGAAAGCATAAAAGAATTCATGCAGAAGAGCTAGCTTTTTGTCTGCCTCTTCAAATAAAATCAAGTTCAACATCAGTTTTTAGTTCCAGAAATCAAAGGAGACAGAGTCTAATCCTCTGGAAATGTTCACTCAAGGGAACAAGAGTTTCAAATTGTGGCAGAAATACTTCTTGTCAATTTTACTCATATTGTCACAAAAGCTCAATAACTATTTTAAACTAAGAGAAGAAGTTATTAAATGAGAGAAGACAGAATAGTAATATTAATAAACTGTTTGGCTGCAACGAAATAAGTTTTTATAGATTTTATAACATGTTGAATATCTGGTCCTACATTAAATATTTTAAACATTTTGTTTAAAAAAAAAAACCCCTCTGCTAGATCCCTTTGTCGTCATGAGCCTTGTGCTCCAATCCCTGGAAACAAGAGCAATGCGAGGCTGCTTGACTCACGGCCAGAGGCCCACGAGGCACACGTACTTGTTCTGCAGCAGCTCGTTCTCTTGCCGGAGCTGGCCCATTTCTGAGCGGATCCCTCGCTCGGTGCTCGAGAGGGAGCTGATCTGACTGCGGAGCTCCTGTTCCACTTGCCTGCTGGCCTGCAGGTCGGCCTTTAACTTTTTAATGTCTTGTTCCAGCCTAGGAGAAGGAGAAACACAGCATCTTCATCACTGACAGGCCAACCCGGGGCCTCTGTGGGAGACCCTGGCTGAAGTCCCTGACTGCTGGGTGGCCGGTGGAGCACCCTGCCAGCAGCTCCTGACATCAACGCAACTCCCGTCTGCAATCAGCCTTCGAATCAGTGCTTCCGCCTGGGTCTCCCCCTTCCCACCAGAGGGTAACTTTTGATTTCCCCCCAAATATTTGTGAACACTGACAGGTGAAGATGGTGCTTGTGAGTATCTGAGCTGCTAATAAAGGAGGAGGGGAAGGCAGAGGGAGGGTGCCTGAAGGGCATGGTCCCCTCTCCACTGGTGAATTCCCCATGCCCCTCAGCAAGGGAGATATGCTAGTAACAACCAGCTCAGGACCCACATGCTTTGAGATATCCTGATAGATCAGAGTCTACTGTCTGAGATTCCCTCCCACCATGGGCCTAGAAGAAAACAGTGTCTGAGGCAGCCTCCTGAAACTGCTAGCATCCTTGCTAAATGGTGTTCACGCTTATGGTGACTGTGACAGAAGAGCTCACTAGACTCAACAACAATGAAAAAAGGAACAAATTACATGATCTACGAATCACAAGAAAACTCAATCTGTGAAATGAAGCTTATCTTTTCAATTCCTTACTCCTGTTCCATCTATTTTCTTTAATGCAGTAATAGTTTCACTTTAAGTGATACGTATTGGGGAGCTATTATATGCACATGTAGGACTGAAAAGGGTCAACAAAGAATATAAAGTTAAGCCCCCTTCTTCATGAGAGGACTTTACAATTTCACTAGAGGCCAATAAAGAGACATTTAAAATGATTAAACCATAATACAGGAAGGCCATGGTTAAAAACATGCTAAAGGGAGTAACTAATATTTAATGAGAACTTACATGCCAGGCACTGTTCCATAGGTTTTAATGGTACAAACGCATTTAATCTGTACAACTATGAGCTAAATTGAATAACCTTGGCAATTATTAGTCCCATTTTTACAGATGAAGAAATTTAGATTCAGGAAAGGTTCCAGCCCAAGGTCACACAGGCAGCCTAGCTCTAGACTCCACTCTCTTCTCCAGCAGGCCAAACTGTGGCTCTATCAGCCACAGCATGGCATGGGGAGAAGTGTCGCATGAGTTCTGAGGAGAGAAGATGGGAAATGAGTTGGGCCTCGAAAGTTGGGCAGGATTTGGAGAAGCAGAAGGGGAGGAGAAGGCATTCTAAACAAGGGGAAAACATGCTCAAAAGCTCAAAGGTAGCAACAGCCACAGGCATTTGGAGGCAGAGCAATCAGTCTGGCCTCTGAGGAAGGCTTGTACTCTGGGAACAGGGTGAGAAAGGATAGAAGGGACCTGGCAGATTAGACCATGGAGAACGGCACTCAAGTTCAGGCCAAGGATGACTGCCAGGTGAGACTCAGAAGACACCTTTTCCTACAAACTTACAGTAGGCAAAAGTCAGTTAGCTCTGAAGAGACTCTTGTGCATTTCACTAATCCAACACACCAACAGAACCAAGAATTCTGGAGGGCAATGGTGATCTCTCCTTGGAACTGCCAGGTCCATAGACTAGGTCCTTACAGATATGTTTTATGAAGCACGAAATCCCCAGGGCCCATCAATCACAGTGATCAACACTTACTAAATACATGTATCGGTTGCCTGGCATTCCTTAGAAAACCAAAGAGCAGCTTTATTTACCTGTCTTACCTTTAGCCAATTGAAACAAAATCTCAAAACCAAAAAGTCATGAAACATCAATGGTTAGCTCCCAGGCCCAGTAGCCAGTCCCCCTGTCCAGTGCCTGGGAACACGGACTAGAGACTCTGTGTTCCAGAAGAGCTGCCGGGTCTCCTGACACAGCTCGCTCCCCAGGGAAGCGTCACAAATGGACATCATGCCACACTTTCCCTATTGCCAGGGTTATTCCAGTTGAATGTACTCCCGGAACTGTTCTAAACAATTACCGACTGGCATTTATACCATCCCCACACCGTCACTCATTCACCCGAAGTTACCCAAGGGATATTTTCTAAAACAGGTCGATGCTGTCAGGTTATCCTCATTAAGAAGTTTGGCTGAAAAATGTGTTAGGTAATTTATCTTTTTTGAGAAGTCGGTTTCACAGCCCGAGGGCTGCATTTTTAGTAAAAAGGATGAGCTTTAAGAAGAGACTAGGGACTTAGCAAGGTTTAGAAACGGGGTATAGGATCAGGATTCTCGACTCAGCTCTGGAGCCAGCTCTGCGACCCTGGACAAGGCATATAACCTTTCAGGACTCAGTTTCCCCATCTGAGGCAAACGATCTCTAAAGTTCCTCCCAGCTTGGTCTAGGATTTCTAGGCCTGACACACTTACCACTGGCTGTTGATCTGCTCCTTCAGATTAGCAACCTAAGCTGTATCATATGCAGAGGCCCAGGAATCAAGTTCCACACAACCAGCCACTGGGGCAAAGCATATGCCGCAGTTGGGAATGAAAGAAAAATTAAATCTGCGAAGTCTAGATGTCAAGAATTTTGAAGTTATTACTTTTTTAGAGTTTTTAACCTATAAAAGCCAAATTTCCTACCATGAACTAAGAATAACAATTTCTGAATGAAACTTTAGAGCTCTTTGAAAAATGTAAAAAAACCAAGGAGTTAGTGCAGTTAGGAGAGCAAAGTGTGCAAAAATATCTAGAGTGTAACTTCTGGAGATCGCAGAACACTAAACAATATTTTTGGTGTGTAGAACTATGAAAATTTTATCAAAGACATATAGCAGCACAATACAAGAAAAATAAAGTGACGTGGTTTCAAGGGTGTGTTCACTTTTTGAAAATTCATAAGTTGTACACTTAAGATTTGAGCACTTTTGTGGATGTGTGTTATACTTCAATAAAAAGCTTATTTTCAAAAATTAAATAACTTAAGTTCACAAGGCACAGAATTAAAATGCTTCAGGATTTTCATAACTGTTGCCATTGCTTCTGTAAAACTCTGAATGACTGTTTTCCAAACAGTTGCAGCAAACCTGTTAGTTAACACAGCATTCCTCAGTTTAAGGAACACTGGTCTACAGGAAACTGCATGACAACATGTAAGATAACTTAATGTGCTAAATGGTAAATTCTCAGTAACTTTTAAAATTTATTAGGGGAAACTTTTCATTGTCTCTCTGCAGAAAGCATTAATTTAATGTTGAACGTTCACTATATTTTAAATCTTAACTGAGGTAGGTGGTAAAATGATTTACAAACCCTTATTGGATTTATGTTTTTATTGCAAAAGTGATACCCAGTCAAAATAAAAAACTGCATACAACAGAAAAGTATAAAGAATAAACATGTAAATAACTCATAACCCTTTCATCCAGACAGAAACACTATTTGTATTTGGTTTACTTCATTTCTGCATGTCTTTTTCTTTCTCTTTCTTAACACATGTAAACATTTTTCATATTGCTGAGAGGGTATCACATGTATAGTTTACATAGCTTAAGCACCTTTCCACACGATTAGAAACTTTTCACAAACAACTTAATTGCTGCATAATATTACACTGCACAGAGGAACTGTACTCCCAATCCCCGCATGTGCTCAATAAAAAATGTATACATGAGTCTTTAAAGAATTACATGAATTAGTAAGTTGAACTGAATCGAGCCAGTCAAGTACCAGGGGCATTTATTAGACAGATAACTACTACTTGTCATAATGGTAAACTTAACCCTTTTGTGCTGAAGGTCAATACTTACTAGGTAAAATGCAGATATATAATTTATTGCTGTGAAACACCAAGAAGTACTGATTAAATGGTGTTAAGAGGTTAATGCAAAATCTTCAAATGTATTCATGGGATTTTACTAAAATGTCGATAGCTGCAACCTAAATTTGAAGCACGTGGCCAGGAAGACAATGAGGCAGAAGTAATAGTTTATAACCCTTAAAACTAATTTCAGTAAATAGGAATCAAAAGAAAGCAGGAAAAAATTTCATCTCCAAGCTCAAATCCATTTATCAGAGCTAAATCCTATTCTCCTCCCTACACAATAGAAGATTAAGGGATAAAAGAGAATTTTCCTCCAGCAGAACTATAAACTCATCCAAAAAAGAGAAATAATGGGTCAGACAGATCTTAACCAAACTTTGGTAAGGCTTCGGCAGGAAATAAACATACTCCCTCCTTGCCCAACTCCCGTGGCGCTAGTCACCCTTACGAAGGCTGTCCAGTAGTGCTGCCACTTGGCACACAGACAGGGCCCACAGCAAAGCTGAAGTCTATGCGTCCAATAAATATGTCTGTCTGGGCCCAATCAGACAAACCAGGGGTCTAATCAACTCAGAATGTTACCTGTTAGGTCCAGGCACCTTTCCGAGCCACTTTACTGATAAAATTTTAAATCAACTTCTAAACTTGTAAGCTACCTCTAAACTCCAGCAGAGCACCTAACTCACAAGCAAGAGGTGGGGCCCCTGGAGCAGCCCTTCCTCAGGGCTCCACTCGCCGGCCCAGCTGACTTCAGAGCAAAACTGCCAAGCTGAGGAACACTCTTACCCACTCCAAACCTCAACTCTACCTCATCTCCTCCCTCATTCCACCCAGCTAAGGTACGCTATAATGTAAATGGTTGCTAATTATTTAATTTTAAGGGAAAAAGTTACATTTTAATAAGGGGTAATTTCCTAGCTGACCAAAAGAATGAAGCTCAAACCTGAGTCTTTCAAGGCAGGCTAAGTAAGAAAAATATCTTTGAGCATCTTGAAGCACACCTGGTAGTAAAACAAAGTACAGTATTCAAGTGTCAGCTTTTAGTTGAAAGAGGTATTGTTAAGCATCTGAAAAGGTAGGGAGATATTTATGTCTAAGTGTTTGTAATCCTTATCTTTGTGAATTACTTGAATTACAGCCACAGTGCTATGACTTCATTGAAAGTTTAAAAGTCTCCAATGTGTAGAGCCAGTACCTTCATGTTTTTATAAAGCCTGAGGCTTTATGAGGCCTGACT